ATCCGCCGAAACATTAGTTTGTTGTGAATAAAGAATAAAATAACACCTCGCGTTTGCTCAACAAGATTACGAAGAATTACTTGATCAATGCTGAGGTTGACAGAAAGTCGGTCTTGGGATTTATTAGTAGCTTTGGTCAGAAGAAGGCGAGTAAAAACAAGACTATCTCATAACGTTAAGCCAGGAAACGAGAACGAGGATGGGAAACACACCAAGTACGAGTATCCAGACGATTTTTGACGAATTTTTTTAACGTTGGCTAAAACAAACACCATTTTTTTATAAATACTGGAAAGTAGGGGAGCACGCATGCATTGATTCAAATACTAGAAAGAAAATGGCTACCGTAGTCAGTCAAGACGTCTCATATTAAAAAGTGGTCGTAAATACACATCTAGCAAAAAGTGTTTTTTGACATAGTCTAGCAGCGCAAAAGAGGTGAATAGCACAGTGGTAGTGATGTTGGTCATCACGAACAAGGTTCTGGTTCTATCACGCACCGAGCCCACCAAATCCTCCTGGGTCGGAGAATTGATGCCAGGCTCGTTTTGGAGGGAATCACTGCAGTGCAAGTGGGAATGCTCCAGCCGGTTATCCTAGGACTCCAGGAGGATCAACTCGACCTAGATGGTTCTTTGATTGCAGAGACCGCCTCGTGCATATATCTTGGGCGAGGCGATCAACGACGTGGAAAACAACATGAAGAAGGGATTAGATAGAAGAAGGAGAGCAGCTTGGGCCGCATTTGGGCCTCTCAAAGAAGCCGCCGACTAATTGAAGGACCCAAAAATCTGCGCTCACCTTATTGATTCAACGGTCCGCCCAGCACTCGGTTTGGGCGCTGAGACGTGTGCTGGTACTTAAACCACCTCAGGAATATTTCGAAATTCATTCTCATTCGAGAAGATGGCTCGCTGAGGAAGATCTGGCTCGACAGGAAGGCGAAGACGCAACGTCGAGGCGAACAACAAGCATGGACCATCGACTCGGATCACCGGCTCTGAGGAAGACGAAGACGTCGAAACGTTAGCCGAAAATAAATATATTTATCAACCTCGTGCAAGCTTATCAAGAAAGAATACACCTCAGGAATACTTCGGTTTGTATAAAAGATTCTGTTGAAGACGACCCAGAAACTCCTAAGTTGTATTGATTGACTCCAACTATTCGCATCGCCGATCAATAAATCAATGCTTATCAAGAATGGCCAACATGTTAGACCATTCTTCAGTCAATTGACAAGTAGCAAATGGATTCACATGCAGAAAACTAAAAGAAGAACAATGCTTATTCAATGAATTGCACGGTGAATCGCGATACGAATGAAAAATAAACAGTATGGAATAAAAAGTTAGTTCTGGTTCATTGATGAGCTTACTCGAAATTTTGACAAATCTTTGTGATGGCTATCTTTTCGGTAATTCACCTTAACAGCAGTTGTTCCTTCTTGTAATATTCTCTCCCAGGTCGTCATGACTCTAGCCGGGCTAAGGTGACCTGGTCTCATCCGGTAGCTCCCCAGGATATTACAGGACGATCCTTGGGCGATTGTCGATCGAGATTATTCGCTTCTTTGGTGACAATAAAACTTACAGCAGTGACATTAATGTTAATATTATTGCTCGAATTACCGTAACTGTGATGAAGGCGATTGCGCCGAAACGAAGTCAAAATGAAGATTTCTAACAATATCGCGTAGGCTCACAAATAGAACAAAATCTTAATCATCCATACCGAAGCTCAACGCAATTCAGAATTAATGGCGAAATGATTTTTTTCACCATACTTTAAACCGGATTTTTAGAATGTAAGGTGAGACTGAATTCACTGCTCTTCACAGTCGTCGTCATTGGCGTCGCAATCTTTGTTGTTTTTAAAAAAATGTTGGACGCTCCTAAAACAACGAACTTCCGTCTCACCCGGGACGACCACCAACGGCCTATCAAAGTAGGATCTAGTGACATCCTTAAACTGCGGAATTTTTTATTCCAGAAAAAAAAATACGTTCAACCAGTTTTCGAAATTGTGGTAGTGGGGAACGAGGTATACAGATCGTATATCGCCTAGACGAAACGGTCCAGTGGACAAGCTCAATTACTTCAAAGGTGACGCTTGTAAGAGAGTGGAATGGAGGACGGACCGCTTATGCTTAGCACAAAACCACTGGCGTAGGTTGATCGTTTGTGTATCGTAGTGAGACCGTTCTTTTTTTCCTACAAGAAACACTTTTAATCAGACATACTTCCCGTTAAAGTGATTCCTCTGGCGTCATATGCGGTTTCGAAGAAAAAGAAAGACAGAGAACAATTAATGAAGTAACCATCCAGCTAGTAAAACTGGCAATTGCAGATCGATTTAGTGATAGATAGGCACTGCTGAATGATTCGGTTTCACTTGGGCTTACAGGATTTTTTTGAGGTTTCTTTCTTCGTTTATGTCAGTTTTTTTCTTGAAGTTAACGTTATAACGAAGGCAAACCGAAACTTCCTCAAGTTTTCTTCGTTTTTTCGTTTCTCTTAGCTTACCAACTTAGCCATTTCTAATATTTTTGATACTGGTCAAAATGATTATAACTTCAATGATGCTGAGACATTTGAAAGATCCCGGACCGCAGGTGTCTGCGGTGGAGAACGAACGCGCTATTGCCCTTTCCGGGGCTGACGCGTTCACCACCACACCATGCGGGTCCTTCCTTTCTCCTGTCTCTCAGCTAATTCTATCGATCAGTGCCATGAGCAGTCACCCGTCGACGGGATTGGTCTGGGAGCCCACGTCGACACTAAAACTAGTTAAGCTGAGGCTGTAGTTGAAATCACAATGTTTTACTTTTCATTTTCTGCCTTCGTTCTCCACCATAGACACCTGCGGTCCGGACTCTCCGCAACGTTGTGCTTGTATTTCCTATAAAATCAAATATTTTCATCAAATCAAACGAAGAAAAAGGCTCTAAAAACTCTAAAAAGTTTTCAGCAAGTTTTCACTTTCCTAATAATCCGGTCGGCTTGAAATTAATGAATTACGTAGAAGAAAAAACTCTTTTCTTTTTGAAGATCCAATAACTTGTTTTTTTTTTACGTTCTAGAACTCTCAAGAAATCGAAAAATATGAGATCATGATTGGACGAGTTAGCATTTCATGTAGACCTTAGGTCATTTAAGTATATTTCGGCACTCTCACTTTCTGCAATGCTGTCAATCGAATCCGGGGATTATAAAATAAATTGGTTGTAATGGCTATAGTTGTCATAGTGCTACTTAAGAGATCAATTGGCATTACGAAACTCGACACTATTATTGGTAATGTTATTCTCACTTGCAATACTTTTTCAGAAATAATGTTTGTATGGATAGTATGAAGGCGCGTCTGGCGCAGTGGTTGGAGGCGCCACTGCGGCGCACGTGGAATCGATCTCTGCGCCCATAGCCCACCAAACATTCCATCCCTCCGGAGTCGGCAAATTGGTACCAACCTTGTCTGGGAAAATAGCAGCACTGGCTCGATACATCGGTTGGCCACCGCGGGTCCTTGTAAAGGCCGAACATGCATTCAGTCACCTCCAACGGCACTTAATGAAATCGAATTTATGGGGCATCTCTTAGGGATTGATCGACACTGAGAGCGTTATCCTTTATCCTTTATCTTTTATGTAGAGTATGAGCCACAACGGTAGACGTATATCGGTCGATAATAGTAGTTGTATCGTCTATAGTACCAGAAGCTGTTGCCGACTATTGCGGCGATAGTATACTTGTTGTTGACTTGATAGCTGGTCGTTGGTGTCATTTCATAATCAGCAAGAGATTCAGCAGCGTGATCTCGCTCTACCGTGGAAATAATAGTGGGCGCTTTTAGTGTGAGTGTGCGAAATTCTTCGGTAAAATGGGTGGACGACTTGCATAAGTAGAGGAGGGGTTTAGAAAGTCTCTTTTGCTTTCACATTCAAGTACTCCTAACGACTTGACCACAACGATGTTGAGATATTCGCAGAACTTGGACAACGGTTCTGATTGAGCTACGATTACCCTTTCCGGGTGCTCACGTATTAAACGTTAGACTACGGAGGTTCTTGTTTTGTGTTTCTCTCGACTAGTTTTCTACATAACTCTGCGGTCAGCAATCACCCGCCAATGGGATTGATCTGGGGAGCACAAATCGCTACTGAAACCAGTTAAGCTGAGGCTCTAGTCGAAGAGTCCTAATAACTTGATAAATCTTCTTTATACTGGGGTAGCTGTTCATGTACTGGACTTTCTTATCCGTTGTTTACGTTAGCCTAAGCTGTCAATATACGATTGACGTCTTCGAGAACTACCGGACGGTGTATGACTGGATGGATTTACTAAATGGTGAGATGTGTATCAATTGTTGTCACGGTTTGAAAGCCCAAAATATTTACGCATCAACTTAATCGTTTTCATTAGGATATCAAGACGCCTAGATTACTAACTTCTCCAATAGTATGTGATTTAAAACTATTTCCATTTCACTTGCAATGTCCTGATTTACCAGGAATCTCGACGTACTATTTGCAGTGTTGTGAGAGCGTCATTGCTGGCATTCCTTGACTCTTATGAGTTTGGAGGATGGAAATCAGAAGCCATTTGATACTATGTTCTTTCCACTGCGGTGGTGACCCCATCAGCGAAGTTCATACATGATTATGGTGCACTCCTTCAGTAATGCTTTGCGTTTCTTATGTCTTGAAAACTTACAAGCTAGTGAGTGTTTTCTTGCTATGAGTGCTGCCACATGTATATTCCTGACTGAGGTATGGTTTGAGCAGTTATCATCTTCTTTAATGTTAATGGGAAAATTACTGTGTATAAAAAAGGAACGAAGGAAGAGAGAAACAACATTTTATTTCCCTATAAAAATTACATGGTTAATGAAAATCTATAGGATTCAGTTTGTTCATACAAATAACAAAATATGAAGTAAAACACGTATTTTTTTCTTGAGTACAAGAAAAGAGGCATTTCATCTGAATCGATCACGCACATTTAAAGTACACGGAGTTTTCTGTGTTGCTGACGTATACTGCTCAGATACTTTTTCTTTTCGTAAAGTAAATCTTCTCGGAATTTTGTCGAATTGTAGAACCACGGCAGAAAATCGTCAAAGTACTCGATTTCTGGTGACAGCTCTTCTTCCTTTACTTCATCTACCTGGAAAGAGAAGTAGTGATGATCATGAGGAAAAGCACAAAGAAAACCAAGTACGAACAAGGAGTTTTTTTGATTTTACAATGTTATTTATATTTAGTGCATAAATAAGCTATACCAGGATCTACCACCGTTCTGTTATCAAATTAATCGTATGGTGGCAAATCTCCCTGTGATCCACATGGGCTGCGACTGTCTGTGGTGGTGAGGACCTAAGGCAGACTTTGGCCAGGCTGACCTCGGGCTTCCACGGATCACATTGGCTAAACCAGCAAATCTCGGAAAAAATGGAGATTACGCTGGGGCCCTCACAACCAGTGAGGGCGGGCTATCCAAGTATACGAGTACAATGAAACGAAAGGCAAAAATGTCAAATCATGAAAAAGTTAAAGAATACGCTAGATAGGCAAAGCGAATTCAACAAGAAAACTAACAGATACTGGTGGTCTTCCATCGCACAAAAGTATTGAGATGAGTAGAAAAGCCCAAACGAGCATTTCTGAAGTCAAAACGTTATATAATTGCTGCAAAATAAAATATGTTGGAATGAACACACGTCATAAAAATTGCTAGACCAACTAGCAACTGAAGAAAAGAGGATGAAGGATGAAACAAGTGTTCATGTAGTGTTGTGCTGAATATAGAAAGGGTTAAAAGTGTAGCAAATCCCAAGACCGACCTTCTATTGACCTCGACATTGATTGACAATTCACTGTTTTTGCTTCGATAAGCAAACAGGAGGCTGGTATTATAGAATTCATTAGCATACGATAGCTGATGTTTCGACGGTTTCGCCTTTCAATTAATTGGTGAAGAGCAGCTGTACAGAGCGATACATGGGCGAGCAATGCTAAGTGTGGCACAATGGCTAGTATAGGAAAGAATTCATCAATACATCTATAATAATTCCCACGACCGAGTTTCTATTAACCTCGACATTGATCATATAATTCTTTTTATTCTTGTTGAGCAAACACGGGGTGTTATCTTATTCCTTTTTCAAGAACAAGCTGACGTTTTGGCCGATTTCTCCTTTTCAGAGCCTGGAAAGGTCAAGTTGATAGCGAGCTACTCAGCCAAACACTTCCATTACCAAACAGATAAAATGTCAAACCAAGATTTCAATCACATTGAGCACAGAGTAGCTTCTTTCCACACTCACCGTTTTCTATGAGTCTTCCACTCAATATGTCACGTGGAGATCAACTGCAGAAAATCCTCATGGAACTTGACCTTTGCAGGTTCTGAGGCAGGCGAAATCCGCCGAAACGTTAGGTTGTTATTGAATAAAGAATGAAATAACACCTCGTGTTTGCTCAATAAGAATAGAAAGACCTCCATAATAGTTTGTTGAGAAATAAATGTCGGATGTGTTTTTCTTATATTTGATTAAACAACAGACTTCGCTCGATTGCTAGACTTCGTTTAGCACTTTCCCTCTTTGGTTATGGAGGCGTTTGGTTGGGTAAATTACAACCAACTAGACCTTTCCAGGCTTTGAGCAAAGCAAAATCTGCCAAAACACATAAGCTTTTCCGTCAATAAAGAATAAAGTAACACCTCGTGTTTGCTCGTCAGAAATCCAATGATTTTTTGTGAGTCGTTTAAGAGTCATTTTTATGTACTTTCGTTTTGTATAATTGAATTGCAATATGAATTGTTTAAGAGTTCATACGTCGTACTATCGACACTGCAAAGGTTTGATAGGCTGGACCACGAAATTTTGCCTTATGCGCCACTCTTCCTGGATATCTGGTCCACCGACCACAAAATCCTCTAGCCCATCGACAAGTTCCTGTACGAGTCACATTTCCCGAACCAAGCCGGAGACCGAAATTGCCTTCAACGACTTCATCGCTTTCAGAACAGAGGAGTATTAAGCCACTGGAATGAGTAAACATGTTCCTCATAAGCAGATTCTAGTGGTTTTAATCCACTTAATAAAACAAATCCTGAGATAGAGGCCTCGCTTTGAAAATACAGATTGGAATTAAGCATTAATTTCCGAACAAGCTGATAACGTTACAGATTGAGTATGTTTTTTTCCAACAGTTTCGAAAGAAAAACAGCACCTGTAAGAGGACGTTATGTTATCTTGTGAATTTGAAAAAATAGTGGATGATTATGGAAAGCTACTTTCTGTAGATGCGTGTGAAGGCGATGATGTGGAACAACAGCCCACGACAACTAAAAGTTGTCATCCTGTCTGCACTCGGGCATATCATCGCATTCTGATGGACAATCAATTGCTGGTTCATTCGCTGCGTTGCAGAAGATACAAGCTCCGTTTTCAACCGAATAGAAAGCAAAATGTCTACGGAATCCAGAAACCAAGAATGTTGCCGTAACCGTATTGAATGAGTGAATTTACAGCACCTTGGCCAAGATAGATGACACTTGCTTTTATCCACATTAAATTCCCTTACGAACTGTTTATTCGAGCATAAAGTATGACTAATCTGTCAGCAAAACTGGCACAATTGAAAATTTAAAATTTGTAATTGAAATGGAAATTTGAAGTGGAAAAAAGAATTGAAAATCCTCTTCTTGTCAAGTGTTTAATCTAAAATCTGGTCTAAAATTAACAAAATACGACTTTCTAAATGAAAGAAACCTCAGCGAAATAAGACGTTATGAAAAACCATGAGATTTCGTTGGTGCAAAAAAAAACAGGTTACTAGAAGGCAAAGTAAGGTGTTCCACTGGTGTAATGGATACCACGTGAGCCCACGGGAAAGGTAAGCGCGGATTCGAAAACCGCCTGAGGTTCCGAGTTTTGCTCATATCTCAGCATTTTTTCGGTTGTGTTACGAAATTCCTTTGTAAACTGAATTTAATTCAGCCATAATAAACTAAAGAATGACCGATTTCATTGTCAAGGTAAAACGAGGTTGCTTCAAAAAACTATTGTGACTAACGCACTTCTCTTACATACGAACTGTAGCTCATTGTTGTTAAAGCTGCACCACAAAAATACAGCTCTTTTATCAGCCTCTTATCATTCCCATAGAAAAACGGGTTCAGCCAGGTGACACAATCTCGCCAAAACTTTTCACCTTTTCACAATCACAGTGCAGTGAACTACGATGCCGTTTAATTAAGGCCCGAGAGGAGTACGCGTTGATGGTAAAGTTCTGTCAACGCTTCGCCTTGCTGATAGCGTCATCAACTTTTCAACAAGCACCAAGGAAGCATGCATTCGCAGATGAGGACGATTTTAGTAGTATCGGTCACAGCCGTTCGTCTCGTGACGTTGGTCTTCGTGGCCACATCGAGTAAAATCATATGGGGCTGTGCATCGCTCGAATGAAGTAGCCTACTAATAACAGTTCCCAAGATCGACTTCCTATTAACCTCGGCATTGGATTATAAATGCCCGTTTCCCGTTCTTCCGTTCCCGTTTATGCTGCCCTTTATTAGCAATGAAGCATGTATAGCTATAAAACGGTGCTTAAGAAGGGCAGCTCTAGAGGAATCGGTTGCGGTAGTAAACATACCACCTGATACTCTCCGTCGTCAATTAGTTCGTAACCGCCTGTATGACCGTCTGTGTGAAACAACAAATTGCGTAATTTGCCCTTACGGCAAGGACGGTGATTGCATGAGTTCAGGTACGATATACCTGATCTCGTGTAACAATTGCGGAGATGAATATATTGGCGAAACGGGCTAACCTTTGTGTATCCGTATAAAAGAACACCTAGATGGCAAACGAAAACTAAGACGAAGCACCCCACTAGGCACGCATAGGATACAAAAGCATAGCGGAGACGATTTTGAAGTAAAAGTCAATATCCTTGCACAGGAGTCCAAAACACCAGCTCGAAATCTTCTTCAGGCTTTTTGGATAAATGCGAAGCACCCTAAAATGAACAACAGGGAGGAATGCCCCGAAATGACAGGTGATTTCTCCCCGCACCTTCGCATCAATCGTTGGGGTGGAGAGGTACAGTCGTCAACCATATGCGACGCCGATCAGCGGCTCTTCCTCAGTGGGCACGTAAAAGAACGGTGGGTTTTGCGAGAAGTTGTTGGCCATGTGATTGCCGTTTAGATTCTCATCTTTCTGTATGTGTTATTGAAGCGTTTGACGACGTAGTAAATTGCATATCACCATGCCCTTCCATTCTCTGAAGAAGGCGATTCTGCTGAAACGTCAGCTACGATTGTGTTATGTGTGTTATTGTTTGCAGGTAAACGTACGTTGTTTAACAGCCTCGCGATTGCTGAGAAAGAAAACCTACTAATAACTATTTTTGGTACAGTGTAAGTCGATTTGCATTCGGAGTTTTTAATTTTATTCACTATTGAATGGGCTAAATGATAAAAAGCTGTTTAAAGCTTTAGTCATCCTACAGAAAGGGGCGCGTGTGGTGTAGTGGTCAGAGACGCCCTGCAACACAGACATGGAATCGATCCCCGCGCCTATGGCCCACCAAGCCTTCCGTCCCTCCGGGGTCGGCAAATTGGTACCAAACTTGTCTGGGAGGACTGCAGCACTGGCTGGATACTTCGGTAGGCCACCGCGAGTCATTGCAAAGGCCAGATATGCATTCACTCACCTCCAAACGATGCTTAATGAAGTCGAATGCATGACGCATCCCTCAGGGATTGATCAGCGTCAGGAAGTTTATCCTTTATTCCCAAGAACCCTCTACAGTAACAAGTTGTTGCCATTGCTACCCTTTTTGATTTTTACATCAGTTCTTTCTTTTAAATTGACCCCTCATTAAACCCACTGTTCTTGAACTTTAAACCAAATCTGCAGAGCACTGGATAATTGTGGTAGCAATAGCTCAATTTACACCACTTCGCGTAATTTCAACACGTGTAGACCAAATGGATTTTTGTTGGACGTGAAGAAAAGGTGTAAAGAACAGTTGACTCAATAATACTAGCTTTGGCTTTTTGATAGTAATATTGTGTTCTTCCCCTCTCAACAGTTTGCCACCTTATCGTGGCTAGGAGGTGTTCTTGGGTGTCAGGCTGCGACGCTCAGCTGAGGAGTCTCCCAGGCTGCAAAGGAGTCCGGCATTTCCACCAGGAAGCCGAG